CAAATCGCTTTCCACGGAGGCCCCACACCCGCAGAGGCCCCTAGGGGGCCCCCTTCCGCCCTAGACCCAGCAGCAGCAGCAGCAGCAGCAGCAGCAGCAGCAGCAGCAGCAGCAGCAGGACCTTCCCCGCCTGCAGCCACAAACGAATCAGCCTGCAGCCCCTCCACTGCCTCCTTGGGGGGGCCCCCAGGGGCCCCCCAGGGGCCTCCAGGGGGCCCCCAGGGGCCCCCGGGGGCCCCCCTGTACCCTTTTGGGTCTCCTGGGGCCCCGCAGCAGCAGCAGCAGCAGCAGCAGCAGCTAAGCCCCTCCTCGGGGGCCCCCTTGGGCACTGTAGATACTCCCGAAGGGGCCCCCTTTTCAGCAGAGTCGGGGGCCCCCCTGAGCCTCTCCGAGGACTCCGAGGGGCCCCCTGACTCCCCAGCAGCAGCAGCAGGGGGGGCCCCCAACGCAGGGTACAGCGGGGAGGGGGGCCCCCAGGGGGGCCCCCCGGGGGCCCCCGGGGGCCCCCCGGGGGCCCCCAAGGGGCCCCCGGGGGCCCCCAAAGCTGCGCGAAAAGAAAAGAAAATAAATAAAAGTGGAGAAAAAAAGAAACAAAAGGGGCCCCTCTTGTTCGACCCAGTGAAGGCCTGGAAGGCCCTGTGCAGTGCTTGGGAGCAGCGGCAAGTGAGGGGCTCTCCGCTAGGGTTTAGGGTTTAGGGTTTAGGGTTTAGGGTTTAGGGTTAGGGTTTAGGGTTTAGGGTTTTGGGTGCAGAGGATGCGGCGAGGAAGCGCTGGTGATTAAGTTTCAGGCCCCAGGAGCGACTGCACAGCGGCTGGGCCTCAGATTCGCTAACTAGGGTTTAGGGTTTAGGGTTTAGGGTTTAGGGTTTAGGGTTTAGGGCTTAGGGTTTGGGGTTTGGGGCGTGCAGGACGTTTCTTTCCTGTGGACTTCGTCTCAGTTTGCGGAATTTGCTGCCTCCAACTTCGAACTAACTCCAAACGCAGCAGCAGGGGGGCCCCCCACTCTAGGGGCCCCGGGGGCCCCCCAGACCCTGGGGGCCCCCCAGACCCTGGGGGCCCCCCAGACCCTGGGGGCCCCCCAGACCCCGGGGGGCCCCCAGACCCTGGGGGCCCCCCAGACCCTGGGGGCCCCCCAGACCGCGGGGGCCCCCCAGACCCCGGGGGGCCCCCAGCCGCCGGGGGGCCCCCAGAGTGGAGGGGCCCCAGGGGCCCCTCAAAGCCCTGGGGCCCCCGGGGCTGCTGGCGGGGGAGAAGGTGCTGGGGGGGGCCCCCCTGGGGGTGCGGGGGGCCCCCCTTGTGGGGCCCCCGCTGGGATTTGTGGGGGCCCCCCTGCAGCATTTGTGTTTAGTTTGCTGCTGGAGAACGGCAGCACTTCCAGCCTCAGCAGCAGCAAACTAGAAGCTGCATGTTTTAAGATTAAAACCCTCAGGGCCCGTTTTCCCCAGCCCGTGGCTCTTGTGGTTTCCAAGGGTACTGCGGGGGGCCCCCCAGACCCTGGGGGGGCCCCCCCCGGTCTCGGGGGGCCCCCAGGCCCTGGGGGGGGCCCCCACGGTCTTGGGGGGCCCCCAGGCCCTGGGGGGGCCCCCCCCGGTCTCGGGGGGCCCCCAGGCCGCGGGGGGGCCCCCCAGCCCCAGGGGGGGCCCCCAGACCTCGGGGGGGGCCCCCACGGGCTGGAGGGGGCCCCAGACCTTGGGGGGGGCCCCCAGACCCAGGGGGGGCCCCCAGACCCTGGGGGGGGCCCCCAGGGTCTGGGGGGGCCCCCAGAGGGCCAGGGGGGCCCCCAGTGGGACCCTGAAGATGCCCTGAAGCTGCTCGTGGGGGGCCCCCCGACGCAGTGGCAGCACTTTGTTGTTCCCCTGGCCCAGTTCGCGCAGCAGCAGCAGCAGCAGCAGGGGGAGGCCGCTGCTGCTGCTGCTGCTGCTGCTGCTGCTGCTGCTGCTGCTGCTGCTTGGGATTTAATGCAAGACTTGTTTGTCTCGGGGGCCAAAAGACCAAAAGCAAAAGGGCTGCTGCTGATTTGGAACGCCCAAGAAGCCCTCAGGCCCCTTCTTGCGCAGCGCCCAGAAATACGTAAACCCTAAACCCTAAACCCTAAACCCTAAACCCTAAACCCTAACCCTAGGCCTTTCTCCGGAGCTGGCTCCCCCTGCGGCCGGGTAGAAGGCTCCTTCACGTCGTGAGGCTCACAGTCCGTGCTTGGCTGCCTGCGCTTTAGGGTTTAGGGTTTAGGGTTTAGGGTTTAGGGTTTAGGGTTTAGGGTTTGTGGTTTGCAGCACTTGGGTCCGTCGCCTTCTTCGATGTTTCTCTGATGGCGTGGCTGTGGGCCCCCGAAGACCCTGAGATATCTGCTGCTGCTGCTGCAATAAACACTGCAGCAGCAAAACTCAACTTGCCGCAGATCCTTGTGCGCTCTCGGATTTAGGGTTTAGGGTTTAGGGTTTAGGGTTTAGGGTTTAGGCTTTGGAGGGCGGAGGGCGAGGCACCAGATGTACTGAGCGAGCGCTTCCGCTTTCGGGCTTTGAACCGGAGGCCAGTGTTCAAGGCTCAGGTCTCTAGGGTTTAGGGTTTAGGGTTTAGGGTTTAGGGTTTAGGGTTTAGGGTTTAGGGTTTGCGTTCAGGAGGGTTTGTCGCCGCTGGACACGGGGGTTGCTGCTGCCGAGAGTTTCCTTTGGGCGAATTGCCTCAAAGCCAATTCCGCCACAGCAGCAGTAGCTGCTGCGCTGGGGCCCCACATGCTTTCTGAGGGTTTATGCAGGTCCCTAAACCCTAAACCCTAAACCCTAAACCCTAAACCCTGACCCTAGGCAGGGTTTTGCGGGCGCCAGTGCCTCGCCGCGGGTGCAGCAGCTTCCAGCCAGAAGGCTCTTCGACGCCACTCTCTGTTCAGCCTCTGAGTGGCCCACGACATAGGGTTTAGGGTTTAGGGTTTAGGGTTTAGGGTTTAGGGTTTAGGGTTTGCGCGCAGGGTTTTGGTGGAGCAGGAGGGCCCCGTGGCGCTGCTGCTGTCGCTAATGGAGGCCACAGGCGTTGCCTGCGACGAGTCTGTTGTGGCGCCCCACAAGGAGAGGCTGCAGGTAGGGTTTAGGGTTTAGGGTTTAGGGTTTAGGGTTTGTCGTCTAGAGTTTAGGGTTTAGGGTTTAGGGTTTGTCGTCTAGGGCTTAGGGTTTAGGGCTTAGGGTTTGTCGTCTAGGGCTTACGGTTTAGGGTTTAGGTTTTGTCGTCTAGGGTTTGGGGTCTAGGGTTTAGGGTTTGTCGTCTAGGGTTTAGGGTTTAGGGTTTAGGGTTTAGGGTTTGCGGGTGCTTCAGGCAGAACTCGAGCACCTTGCTGCTGCTTGCTGCGCTGCTGTTGGCTTTTCTTTTTCTCCCTCTTCTCCTAAACAAGTTGCAGACCTCATTTACAACAAACTCAAACTGGGGCCCCCTGGGGGGCCCCCGGGGGGGCCCCCTGGAGGGTTTCAAGTGGAGGGTTTGAAGCAGCAGTGCACTGATGACAATGTTCTCCAAGTAAACCCTAAACCCTTGGCTCTGTGCGCTGCAGCTGAAACCCTAGGAGCCCAAACCCTAAACCCTAGGGCCGTTCCAGGGGCTCTCTAAACCCTAAACCCTCCTTCTCAAACCCTAAACCCTAAACCCTTGCTGCTGCGGGGCCTGCTGCTGCAGAGCCTGCGAGACAGCCACCCGGTGGTGCCGCTGCTGCAGCGCTATCGGCAAATAGCGAAGCTTTACTCCACTTTCTTGGCCCCCCTAACCCCGGTAAACCCTAAACCCTAAACCCTAAATGAGCAGAAGCTTAAACCCTAAACCCTCTTGCCCTTCTTTCAGCCCAGGAGAGCTCGCGCATGGCCCTCAATGCCCTTTAAATTCACCGCTCAAAATTCAGGCTTTAGCGTTTAGGGTTTAGCGTTTAGGGTTTAGGGTTTAGGGTTTAGGGTTTAGGGTTTAGGGTTTAGGGTTTGCCTTGTTTCCCCACAGCTGCACAGCACTGCAGAAAGGGCCCCTGCTGTGGGGCCCCTGGCCTTTCTTGTGCCCCCGGGGGCCCCTGGGGGCCCCCCAAAGGCCCCCAAGAAGAAAGCCGAAGGGTTTAGTACCCCTTGGGCTGCGAACCGAGTTCAGCAGCCGGAGTTGCCCAGGTAAACCCTAAACCCTAAACCCTAAACCCTAAATTTTAAACCCTAAACCCTAAGAGCTGATCGCTGAGTCCTAGGCCCTGGACACTTCGCCCAGAAGGCAGCGGCCCGCGTTTGTGCGTCTTGAGCACTCCGCCTCTAGGGTTTAGGGTTTGGGGTTTAGGGTTTAGGGTTTAGGGTTTAGGGTTTGCGGTTTGCGACGGCTAGGGTTTACTGTCGGTGGAACCAAACCCGAACGGTGACAGGCCGTTTATCTTCTTCCAACTGCAATTTGCAAACAGTTCCGAAAGAAGTTCTTTTGACTTTGGGGTGTACGTACACCCCAGCGGGGTGTACGTACACCCCAGCGGGGTGTACGTACACCCCAGCGGGGTGTACGTACACCCCAGCGCAGGGGGCCCCCGCGGTGGACCTGAAGCTGCGATGCAGAACAGCTTTTGTTCCCTCAAACCCTAAAACGGAGGTTCTGGTTTCCGCGGACTTCGCGCAAATCGAAATGAGGGTTTTGGTCAGGCTCGCAGCGCCTGCCGCCTGTCCCTAGGGTTTAGGGTTTAGGGTTTAGGGTTTAGGGTTTAGGGTTTAGGGTTTGGGGCTTGCGGGTATGTGCTCATCTCTGCTCCTTGCTGCCAAGGACACACACTCGCTCCCTTCCGAGCAGCCGTGCGCCTACATGAACCACAATGTAGGGTTTAGGGTTTGGGGTTCAGGGATTCGGGTTTAGGGTTTAGGGTTTAGGGTTTAGGGTTTTGTTGTGTAGGCTCATTTTTGCGGCCCTGGACGCCTGAGTGGGATTTTTGCAAAAGGGGAAAAAGACGTCTACAAAGAAATGGCAGCGGAATTCACCAAAGTCCAGGTCGACCAGGTTACGCCTCAACTCAGAAACAGCGTCAGCTCTAGGGTTTAGGGTTTAGGGTTTGGGGTTTAGGGTTTAGGGTTTAGGGTATAGGGTTTGGGGTTTAGGGTTTAAGCCTTAGTGTTCAGGGTTTGGTTTCTGGCTGTGGGCAATTCGGTGCGCTGACGATGCACTAACTGCCCCTTCCGGGTTTAGGGTTTAGGGTTTAGGGTTTAGGGTTTAGGGTTTAGGGTTTAGGGTTAAGGCGGTAGGGTTTCTGGCATCTTTGGAGTCGGCTGGCGATTTGCTTTTCAGCTGTCGCTGCGCTGGCCAGTGCGCAGTGTCAGGGCGGCGGTGTCAGTGAAATAAAAACATTAAATTTGGATTTTAAAAGTTTAAAATTATAAAATAAAATTACAAAATAAATAAAAAGTCCTTTCGAAGCTGCTGCAGGCCAAAGTGGTTTGCCTCGCGCTGCTCTACGGCGGCGGGCTGCAGCCAATTTGCCAGCAGCTTTCCGTCGGGCCCGAAGAAGCCCAAAAAGTTCGCCAGCAGTTTTCTTTTTCTTTTCCGGAAGTTTCCAAATTCGCAAAAGACGCCATTCTAGCCGCCAGGAAACACGGATTCCTCACCACCCTCGCAGGTCGCTCCCGCAGGCTAGGGTTTAGGGTTTAGGGTTTAGGGTTTAGGGTTTGGCTTCAGCGCTCAGGGTTTAGGGTTTAGGGTTTAGGGTTGGGTTTAGGGTTGGGTTTAGGGTTTAGCTTTGGGGTTTTGGGTCTGGAGTTTAAGCTTCCACGTGCCGGGTTCCGGGTTTCGGGCTAGGGTTTAGGGTTAGGGTTTAGGGTTTAGGGTTTAGGGTTTAGGGTTTGTGGGTGCACAGGCCGCCGTCGCCGCGTGAGTGCGGAGTTGCGCGAAAGTCCTTCTTTGCAGCGACAGGCGGTGAATTATATAATTCAGGGGAGCGCCAGCGACGTAATAAAGCGGGCGATGCTGCGGGTGCAGCGGGCTTTCCAGGGGAGGTGAGTGAAGTTGAACGGGGCGGAAAGCGGGGCTTCCGCGGGGCTTTCCGCGGAACTTGGGGGTTTTCTAAGCAGAAAATATCCACTGAATTGGAGTTTTAGTTGCAATTTTCCCGGGTTTGGGACTTAAAGGCCGGCTTTCGGAGTGTTCAACTTCCGCCGCTCAGCAACTTCTGCGCGCGGCCCCGCCTGCTGCTTTCCCTGCACGACGAGATCATCGTGGAGTGCCGCGGCGAAGAAAAAGAAAGAGTTAAATTCATTTTGAAACGCGAAATGGAAAAGGCGCTGCCGCTTTCCGTGCCGCTGGCCGTGGTCGTGAAGGCGGGCCCGAGCTGGGGCGATCTCGACGACTGAGCCCGGAAACGCAAACAAAATGCGAGTTCGGAGTTGAATTCGAATTCAATTTGTTGTTTCTTTCTTCGAAGAATATTTTAAATGCTTTAATAAGCATTTAAATGCTTATTAAAGCATTTAAAATATTCCCCAATATTCGCAAACGAAGAAAGAAGGGGCCCCGGGCGGCGCTGGATTCTGCACAGCGGCCAGCTGTGGCCTTGCAGTGGACCAACTCAGGCGAATCTTTTGAACTCATTAAAGATCTAAATCTCTTTTTAAAAGTAAATGGGATTATATTTGCGCAAGAGGGGCTTCTTGGAGCCTAAATCACTTTATTAAAAGTAAATGGGATTATATTTGCGCAAGAGTGGCTTCTTGGAGACGGCGGAAGCCCTGGATCCCCCAAAGAAACGCTGTTGCCTCTCGAACTTCATACTTAGCGAACTGCCGCTTCTTTACTTCTTTTTGTGTAGAGCTTAGATAAGTAGTTTAATAAAATAGAACATTCAATTCAGAGAAAGTGGCAGCACTTAGTATTATTTTTTGGCAAAATCATCTTTTGATTTCGGCAAAAATGATTCAATAAGTCAGCAAGGCCTGGAGAGGGAACGGCAGGCTGTGGGTGAGTTGAACTGGCTCGAACGAGTTCTTGAATGGAACAAGAAATGAAGTGGCGAAGTAAAGCAATTAGGGAATTGAAAATGCAAAGAAATGAAATGAAGAAATAAACCAATTGGGGAATTATAAATGCAAAGAAATGAAATGGAGAAATAAACCAATTAGGGAATTTAAAATGCAAAGACAACAAACTTTCCAGCTCGCTTTCGCGTCCACGGAGTTGTGCACTGCCTTGCCCGGCAAAGCTGCAGCCAGCGAGGGACTTGTAATTAAATTTGATTCAGCTTTTTGTTCAGCTTATCTTTTCACTTTAATTGATATTAACTTTGGGCAATTAAGTGGCATTAACTCGGCAAACTACCCGCAGCGAGTGGGGCAAAACTCGTTTTGAAACTTCGAAAAATTCTTATTTGCAAAGTGAGAAAGAGGATTTCAAGCTGTTCAGCACAGAGTGGAGATGAATTGAATATAAATTGAATTTGAAAACAACTAATTGTAGCTTTTCTTTTTGCTGCATCTTGAGTGAGAGAATTCACAACTGAGGTTTCTTCTCCATTCACAAGTTTTGCAACTTGAACGCTCTGCAAGGGGAGGTGATCTGGGCCTCGACCTGTGACTTGTTCCGGCCATTATGGGCCCTTTTTGATAAATTCATTTCAATAAACCCTAAAGTTTACTTTTATATATTTCATTTCTCTTTTTGTGCAAGTCCGATTGAGGTTGAACCTCCAGTCTTCCCCCGCGCAGCCTACCTTGTTCATGAACGCGATGCAGATGGCAATCCAGGGGCAAACTAACGCAATTAATGCATTATAAAACAGAAAAAAAAAACAAAAAAACAAATTAAAAAGCTCAGTCGAAGCAATTCAGGTCAGTCTTTCGTTTCCCTTTTGCTAAGGCTCGAGTCGAACCCGTTTTTGGGTTTCGTGTGAACTCGCGCTGCTGCTTTCCGTTCTGTGCCTGTTCCCCGTCTTAGTCGGGAGCTTGCAGTTAAATAATTGCTGTTGTTGCCGACTAAATCTGAAGTTTTGTTTTTATTTATTGGCGGCAGCAAAGAGGCTGCAGTGGACTCGACGGAGTCGGCGGGAAAGAAGTCTGAAGAGGAAATGCCCTTCATCAGCTCCAGGCGCTGCCGACTCATCAAGTTCCGCAAATGCTCCACCTGAAGGCGCCAATTAAAAACATTTAAACAAAAATAATTTATTTATTTAAAGTTCTCCGAAGTTTCAACGAAAATGGGGCTGTTTGCCGGGGCAACTGATCGATGCATTGAAACGCTGAAGACGAACGCGAGTAGCAAACCGACTGAGGTGATGAGCAGCCCATGAAAAGAATGTCGTTTGAAATTCGGAAACAAAAATTAAATTTCAAATTAGAAGCTTAGAAATTAAGAAAATTAAATAAACAGGCAAGTTTTAATTCAAAAGGCACATCTGAACCTGATGTTCGGGAAAGCGCACGTGGCTTAATTGAAAACTAAAGCTTGACTACGGTTGTCTTAAGAAGTTCACATCTCCCAATTTTAAAAATAAAATTGTACTTCACATGAAGACATTTGAACAACACACTAAAATAGCAGCAATTGATTTCCCCTTAGCTTTGTTCTTTCATTTGCAAGAAACTGAACACAGGCCAGGTGGCTCGCTGGCGTCTTTCACCTTTCCACTTGTCAGTCGAGAAGGACATCAACAAGAATTTAATCTTGAAGATTTATTTTTAAAACAGTTTGAAAGTGTTTGTAATTAATGCGTCAAGTAGCTTGCCTGTTAGCCCGCTACTTACTTTCGTGTTGCTGGCGGCGAGTTCGTCTTTGAGGCTTTGGATTGTCTGATCTTTGGCCTTTATTGTTTCTCTCACTTTAATTTCCACTTTTTCCATTCTGCTGTTTTCTTTTATTTTCATTTCTTTGATTTGCTCGTTTGCTGCCGCCAGTTTGCTGCTCAAGTCGTCCAGGGTTTGCCGCTGCGTTTCCAGTTGCTGGCACTGCTCCTGAGAAGACAAAGGCGGCTGCGGATTGCATTTTGAGACAATTTTGGCTCTTTTTTATTCTTTTTTATTTCTTTTTCCTCAAATTTTCCATTCAAATCTACATTTTCCATTTATTTCGGTGAGTTACTTCGAATTTTTGCTTGTTGATCTCCCACTCCGTCTGGAGCTTCTCGTTTTTCCTCTCCCTTTCGCTTTCCAGCGCCTGGCGTTGTTCCAAGGGAATCCGGGGAATCCACGCATCAAAAACTCAATTTTAGTGCAACTTTTGTTTTTAAGGAAGCAACTTAAGCTGCTCGAGCAGCAGAAGCACCATTTGAAAGGCTCTCTTGTGTTTCAGCTTCTCTGTGGCTTCCAGAAGCCTCACCTGCGCCTTGCCGCTGACTTCGTCGAGTGCAGTCTGCAGCTCCTTTTGCATTTTGTCTTTCAGTTCCGCCTCAGTTTCCAAGCGCGAAATATAAATCTCCAGACTCAGGCGTTTTTCGTTTGCAGCCTTCACGCGCACGCAGCCAGAAACTGCGAGTGCAGCTTTCGCCGCAGTCTTGAAAAAGTGCCCGCCACAGCCTCTTTTGTCTCAGTTTTAAAACTGCTCACTACAGTTCTATTAAAATAGTCTTTGCCTCCAACACAAGGCCAAGTAAATGCGCTAAGTCGCGAGTTCTTGCATGTTCAGAAGCAGCTGCAGCTGCGCCTAAGTGCTTTCCGTTCAAGACTGAACTGCACTTGATCTAGGCCACGGAAACTCAACTTGAAAGATAAAAGGAAACTTGCGAGGCTCTTGCGGCTGCCCGTTGGCGTACTTTTAATTCTGCTTCCAACTTCTCTTTTTCGCTGGCCAATTCGCTTTTGGTCTTCTCGAAATTGGCCTGAGCTGCAGCGAGGGCTTCGCTGCACTGGCCTTCCAGGCGGCTCTGCGCCTCCACTTGCTCTTCACTCAGCCGCTCCAACAAATGTTCGATTTTCCTATTTGATCAAATAAAACAAAATAAAGCCATTTGTTCGTTTCAGCGCGTCTTCGCCCCCAAATCGCAAACACAGAAACGGGTTTGAGGAACTCCCCGCGGCAGCTGAAAGCTCAGCGGCCGCTTCAAGTCGCAAATCCAAGACAATGCAAACAAATTAAATACAACTTTGTTTCTTTTCCCGCACATGTCAGTGTTTTGGTCTTTTCGTTCAAACCCTGATCTCTGGCTAGGCTGCTGCTCTGCACTCGGACTGCAGGCGTTTTCGCTCTTGTTTCTGCACGTGACTCACTTGTGGCAGTCCGCCTCCATTTCTTTTTTCGCCGTTTCCACCGCCTCTTTGATGGCTGCAGCTTTGGCGACTTCCATTTTAGCCACAAGTTCCTTTTCTTTCGCCTTTGCAGAATCCTCCGCCTGCCGAACTTCGGCTGCGTGGCTTTGCCGCAGGCGTTCCATTTCCGCCACGAACTGGTTCGCCACCTCCTTGCAGCGCTGCTGCTCCTCTTCTCGCGCTTTTCTGAGCTCAAAGTGGAGTCAAAAACAGTTTGAAGTCCTCAATTTGTTCCTTTTAGTCGCGTAAACAACGCTGTCTTCAGTGCCTCTTGCTGCAAGTGCAGCTTTCAAGGGGAAAGACGAAATTCACGACCCACGTGATTTCGCCCTGAAGAGACTTCTTGCCGTCTTTTATCTCCGACTCCCACTTGGCTGCTTCTTCTCGATGCTTTGCCATTAAAAGTTCTTTTTCTCTCCTCATCTGCGTTTGCGTCACACATCTACGCAGCGACACAGCGAGCATGTCCGTTGCACCAAAGAAAGGGCAGCTGGACGAACTAAATAATAAAAAACGCCTTTTTAGCGCTAATTTCCGCACTATGGCTCCTTTTCAAAGTCCTCTGCCTCTCACTTCGGCCTCGAAGCGTTCTTGCATCTCCCGGACTTCCTGCCTGTGTTGGCTTCGCTCGGCCTCGAACGCCTCTTCCATCTGCCTCGCCGCTAGTGCCTTCTGCGAGGCCAGCTCTTGTTCCAGCTGGCTTTTCATCTGAGGCGTTTCAAAAGCAGTAGTGTCAGAAAATAGGGTTTGTTCGCTTTTCAGTCGAAGTGGGAGAAAATGTGAACATTTCAAATGCGCTGCTGTGAGACGAAGACCCAGTGCAGAGTTGACGCGACGCACATCGTTCGCTACTTTCTTCAGCTTCTCCTCTAGACAGCGCTTCTCATTTCTGTGCTTGTCCAGCAGCCTCTGAATTTCAGGCTCCAGACCCTTTATTGTTATTTCTTTTATCTCCTGAGCCCGGTCGCGCTCCCACGCGTCCCGGCGGGCCTGAAGTTTTCCGAAAAGCCATTTGCCCAACAAGCGCATCAGCTTTCGCGTGAAGCGAAGTCCGTGACGGGCCACCACAGATGCCACTTAGACAGGAGAAGGAGTTCCACCGAAGGCGGGCTCACCTTTTCACCAGAGAGAAAAGCTTTCCTTTGACGCTCCAGTTCCTTTCCATACTGTTTGTGCAGTTCCGCAGTTTTAGCGCTAAATCTTCTCTCAAGCTCGCGCATCTCATCCGCGAGACGTTGGTAGCGAGAAGCCATCTCTTTCTTTTCATCCTGTAACTGACACAACAATTCCTGTTGCCTTGCGGACTGTCGCTCGTACTTTTCCTGCGGAGACCACCATCGGGATCTTCCGGTGCGCTAATCGCCACCCTTTTCAAAGACTAACGAGTTGTGTCGTACCGTTCTTTGCTACTACGGGTTTATTTTGGGCTGAATGGGACAGCCAATTCGTCTTGCAAGATCATCCGCAACGCAACACTATTCTACTGGAAAGCGAAGGGGCAAAATTTCTAACTGCCTACAGTGGTCCTCGTCAATTCTTCCTGCAGCTGTAACTGTAACTGCCTACGAAGCCGTTCTCCCTGAAGTTTCTCTCTTTCGCGAAGCTCCCGTAAGGCCTTGAGGTTGTGTTCCTTGTCCTCGAGCTCGACTTCCAGAGTCGATATTCTGGACAGCAGGTTTGCATTTCTTGTCGAATCGACAGAGGGATGCGTTTGTCGTAGGCTTTGTCCGTCACAAGCTACGGAATTCGATGCCGTTTGGTCAAGAAAGGTCAGAAAGTCGAGTATTCTATCCTCAGACGGCACGGCTGGGCACTCCGCATCAAGGCTATCCTTAACGTCCGGATGATCTGTACTTTGTAACGTGCCTACAGTCCCAACCCCACATGTCACTGCAGATACAGGTGTGTTGATCGTCATGATTCATGCCCTGCACACGAAATTGTTCTTCCCTGTCTTAAAATCATGGCCAAGACAGAAACTGTTCCACGTCTAACCGGGTAAATGACTTGACGAACGTGATTTGAATAAAAAAATAGGTTATATTCGGGGAAACATTTAGTTGAAAGAAAGTCGAAGGCAAGGGCCCAAATGTCGCAAGCCCCAGAGAAACGAAGTTGGGAGTAAATGATCCCTGAATAATTATGCATAAAAGAGAGAAAAATATCAAAAAAAGCCATACGGTTATATTCTGTAGGTGTTTGCGTCCGGATGAAGATATTTTTACTCCGCCTGCATCTTCGGCTCATTTGGCTCGAGCGAAGCCACCACCCGCGGCGGTGATCTGGATTGTGCAGAAAGGAGCAATGCCAAAGAATTAAAGAATCCTGCAATAAAAAAAGACTAAGAATTTTATCGGTGCAGTAAATTTTCCTGTCTCTGTCGTTGTGTAACTTTCAAAGAGGTGACCTCTTGCATTCCTGCCACTGGCACCCGACTAAGTGACCTGCAACCATGCTGGACAAAATAAACCTACCGCCACAAAGCTAAAGTTTAAATGTAAGGATACTTGACAATGATTAGCTATATGCCTCGAACTAGATCCAGCATACATCCAAAGGACTACGAAACGCTCATGTCGACAGAGCCGCGATGCAGCATGAAAAAACATTAAAGTTGGAAAACTCAACAACGAGTAGTTATAGCTTATGCATCTGTGCAGCACAGGCCGGCGCCCCTCGCTGGGGTCGCGGATCCGGCGGAAACAAGTGCTGTGCCGAGAGAAAGCTTCCGCGCAACGTGGAATCCACCGTTGTAGAGTTCTAGCTTGCCTGATGAGAAATGAGATTAGAATCTTAGCAATATGTGATGCTGGCAAAGTCAGCTTACTGCATAGATGATAGCCATCAGCACAAGACTCAGCAGCCTCGTCCTTGCTGAAGTCGGGAGTAAGGACCGTACAAGATTGCCAAAAGCTACGATTATACTCACTTGCAGTTGGTGCAACCGATGTGAAGGTATGAGGGCTCAATGCCACCTAGTGCGACGGAGGCTTCGGCTTGTATGTGGTCACGGCCAACAGCCTGAAAGCAACGCATTTGTCTCTATTCTCTCTGTCAAAATCGAATAGTGAAACCTACGTATGAGAACATGCGGAACTCGTCAAGAAGCATTGGCATGTCACAAACGTTCTCGGCGTAGGGGGCACCACCGACGAAAAGAGGGAGGTCATTGGTCTTGGTGGAGCCTTCAGTGACGAGAGAAGAGTCGAGGATTCCGTCAACATAGAGCCTCATCCGGTTTTGATGGCGTACGACTACGGAGACAGGCCATAGGTCTCGAAAAATGTGAAGGGGTAGTCTCAACTTGCTTACCGCCAAGGTGATACCACTGGTGAGGGCGAAGTCTGGAGTTGCTTTGCATCTCATTTCCAGCTGAAGAAGGTTGATATAGTCTTTGCTGTTTGGATTATGCTGATTTTTTGAGCCCTACGTGCTGCGCTGCCAGTAGTGCCAAGGACGACTTTGACACGTCCATCCTGTTGAGCGTTCGATGCAGGAAGGTCTCAGCAGAATGTTGAAACAAAGATTACTTACACGAGGGTTCACAAGGAGGGCTGGGGAGGCTTCCTGAACGTCCTCACGCATGGTGCCCTTGTGCATGATGGGGCAGAACTGGTCATGCAAGTCGTTGATGGATCTGTTACACGAAACTTGTTTCCGTCCTCCATATTGAAAAATGCCCAAATTGTTACTAACCTCGACTTGGCATCCTCAAGAAGATACACGAAGAAGGTGTATGAGAAGTCAGCAGACTTGAAGCTCTCCGAGCTTGGGACATACACGTAGTTGTTGCGGAACAAGCCAGAGCTTCCAACGCCGCCAATGCCAGCTGCAGCCATAACTTCGCCGGATCCGTGATTCTTTTTGCCACTCGTGTCAAGAGGGCGGGACTCGTCGAAGGTCAGGTGAACCTCCATGCCTAAAGAACGAATTGAATGAGAATGATGCTGCGTGGCTTCAAGAGGTTGCTGCTACTCTTACCATATGGGCGAGCATCAGGCATCAAAATCTTCTCCGCATTGTGCAGGCACAGTGCAGTTTCGACGGCAACATCGCAAACTGGGCTGGTCGCCTTGAAGGGCTCAGCACTGGCGCCCAGAAGGGAGAAGCAGACGATGGGGATGAATTGCCTCATGGTTACTTGGAATATATTTGAATACCACAGGCAGATGGCTAAAATGTTTTCCCAAATACGAGAATTTGCGAATGTCGTTGGTCAGCTGGTTTGCGAGTGATCCAGGTTCACCGTACGTACACCTGAGGAGCACGCGAGATCGCACTGCTGTATCGCCAGTCCTGTGATGATGATCCAACATCGGATCGCCACTTCTATTTTCCAGTTCGGACAGTAATTCATTTGAAAGCGCTAGTAAGCTGAATAAGCCAAAACAGTTCGTTTCGATGAGCTTGCACGACTAAACAACTGCCCATGTTCCGAAATCAGAAGAACCAACTACTGCCCTTTGTCAAGTTAGTTTGCAGAATGTCGGGATTATGGAAGTCTCCTACATTCCGACATTTCTTGAAGAAAAAGAATGTTCTAATGACTTCTTTACTTATGTTTTCCTCTAAAGGCTCCAAACTTAACTTATCTACGCACTACCTGCGCTGCCTCCCAACTACTCGCCGTTAACTCTACTACACAGGCCTAGCCAGCACATAATTAGACTGAAACGATACTTGAAGGCCTCTGTCGCCTCAGGATTACGTCGCTATGACATTACGGCCAATATATTACACATGCTCGTGCAGTTGGCGCATCCTGCCTGAGCCTCACATAACGTCGGCACACCACTTGGTTGGTTGAGCAATACTGATTCAAACGGTAGCAGTTCGCCTGCTGGTTCGGCAAGCTTTGAAAATTCAACAATTAATTTTTGCAACGTTTGGACCATCCCGTATTCTACGGGCTTGTACGTGAGCAGTTTCGTGGCAGCTTGCTTGCACAGGGCCTCCCCGGTTCGTTTGACTCAGGAGAAACATTTAGCTGCCCCAGGGACGGCGATTCCCTCAATCTCCACGTCTTACAGAAAATACGAGTAAAGAATTACCAAAGCAGCTTTTAGTTACATCCTTTGGCTCCGTTACTGTAGGCTGTGGTTCTCAATCACCCCCAGCGCTCCTGGTGGGGCTCGGCGCTAGGTCACACCACACCCGTGTAGGATTCTCCATTGTTCTACGTCTAGCTCGATATTTTAGCATCTTATGCTCATTCGCGTCTCGTAAACACGTGGAATGCAGATTTTTGGGGCTCTTCTCCCGACGGCGGGTTTCCCTCACTAATGCTCGAGGATCTGGAAGGATGCCGTCTGACTCGTGAAAATCAATGGGCGCCGAATTTCGCATTCTTTCACCATGCCGCGTGTATTGTAGTGAGCTAAGAGGCTGAAAGGAGTCGAGTTAAGGCGGCGGATTCGGAGGCCTCGAAGCCGCATCGCTCATCAGCAGTCGCCTGCCGCCGTCGCGTCGTGCCAGCGGCTGTCTGGGGCGAAAGCGGCGCCCAGTTTGCCTCTGAGCGCGCAAGGGCGTAGCGGCGGGTCTTTGGGACTCCACAGCAGCCGTATTTGCCGCTGTTGAGGGCCCGAGACTTGCCGGGTGATGGTTGGCGCTTGCGGCTGCAAAACCTGAACAGCAGGGAGAAGATGGCCCCCCCAACCGCGGAAAAGCAGGCTGCGCCTAGCGCGCCGTTGCCTTCTGTTTCTCCCCCGTCCGACGATTTGGCCGCCTCGCCGCAGTCCCCGCCGTGCAGAGCGGACTCGCCTCCCGCGCGGGCGGAAGGGGCCCCGGGGCCCCCGGGGCCCCCGGGGCCCCCGCAGCCGGCGAGCCCCGAACAAGCGACGAGCGAGGACTTCCAGCTGATGTGGGGCGAACTGGAGGCGTACTTGACGAAGCGGTTCGCCGGGGGCCCGCAGAGCCTGGTTTGCCTGCGGCGCGTGCTGGATCAGGTCAAGCGGCAGCGGCTGCGGGTGGAAGAACTGGCTTTCCTGATTGGGCACTCCTTCCCCGACGCGCCGGACGTGTCGCTGTGCATGTCTTTGTTCTTTCCCGACCGGACTTTGATTCACGCGGGAAACCCCGCGGCCGCGATGTGCGTGCTGATTCAGAACATGGCGCCGGAGAAGTACGCGATCTTCAACAGCATTCTCAAGAGCTGCATGGCGCAGAAGACGCAGCGCGGCAGCCGCGACATTTTGCTGCACCGCATGCAGCTGCTCTTCAGGGGCCACCCCCTCGTCATCCGCGCCATCAGGAAGCTCTTGGTGCAGCAGTTCTGCATCGAGAAAAACGACGGAGTCATTCGCAAAGACCAGGCTCTTGAACTCACCAAGCCCTTCGACGACGAGCCCGTCCAGGTCTGCTCCTTCGCCTCCACTGACTAGCACTTGCGCTTTTTCCCAATTGCTGCTGCTGCTGCTGCTGCTGGACGCGCTGGGCGACGCGCTGCTGCTGCTGCTGCTGCTGCTGCTGCTGCTGCTGCGCAGGTGCACTCGGCGTACCGGCTGGCGTACCAAGTGGGGCTCTCCGGCGGCTGCGCCGAGCGCGCGCGAGGCCTGGCGTCTGCAGTGCTGCACTTAGTGCGGATGTTTCTGGCGCGAAGACTGGCCTTTGGGGCTTTGAGCGAGGAGTTGGACTTGGCCTTCGCGGCCTTCCCCGCGTGGTTCCACGTCTCTGGCGACATAAAGCGGCTCATTTTGACAATTAAAAGCGAAGACTTTAAAGCTGGAAAGGAAATAGAACAAGTCGTGAAGCTCCTCGCCGCGCGCAACGGCAAGTCGGCCCGTTCTTGCAAGAGGCGGCGCCGGGCCTGCTGCTGCTTCCCTTGCTGCTTCAGCGGGCGCTTTGCAGGAAGCAGCGCTTCTTTTGCTGCTGCTCTCAGTTTAGTGGCTGTTCTCAGTGCAGCAGCAGCAGCAGCTGCAGTGGCAGCAGCAGCAGCTGCTGCAGCTTCGGTGAGGGTGCGGCTTTGGCTGTGTTTGCTGCGCTCTGCTTGCAGTTGCAGCTTGTCAGGACTCCCGCGCCTCGCTGCGGCACTTGTGCGACTTGTTTTTGAACGGAGTTTCGAAGCAGTCCGTGGCTTTGCGGCTGGAAGTGGACCACTTGATTGCCAGGGCCGCGAAAGGCGAAGTTTCCTCTTCCCTCGCGCTGCAGCGAATCGCAGCTCTTCTTGCCCGCTATCCGGACTGCACTGAAAAACTGGGAGTGCTGCTGAGGCTCTTTCGGGACATTGGAGCCAGCAGGCTGCAGGAAAGCGAGGAAGCCGCGCAGAAGACGGAGCCGGAGAAGGCTCGGGAACTCGCAGCAGCAAGTGCAGCAGACCCGCACACTGGCGACTCAGCAGATAATGCTGTTAATTTGAATCCAGAAAGCAAAAACGATCTGGGAATTAACGCCAATGGACTTGCGCACGTCAAAACTGAAACGCCAACTACAGACTCCAGTGCTGCCGCGGTGAGTTCTTGCAACACTTTTCAGGTTTTGAAACGGCCCTTCTGCCCCGTTTGTTTGCCCTGTTTCGCTTTAAAAGAACCCAAAAATTAAAAGGGAAATTCTAGAACTCATTTAATTTGATTACTTTTCTACTTCTGCTGCTGCGTAACACTGGCGAGGCACTGCCGCTGGCAGCTATGGATCCCAGTTCAAGTTTGCGCGATGTTTGTGGCCGGCATTGAAAGAAGCACAATATCATTCGTATTTGTGTTTTGCGCATTCTTATTTATATTTTGGGGTTTATACTGATGGAAAAATGCATATTTATATGCCTGTTTCACAGGCATATGCTCGCGCGCTTGCCTTTCTTGCACTTGTGCCTGTCTGCAATACGCACTCCGAAGTGCATTAATTAATAAATAAATGCAGAAGTGCACTTTCATATCTAAGCAAAAGGACGCAGCCTTTCTTTGCGAAGATTCCGCAGCTCGAATGCATGCGCGTTAGACAGCGAAAAGTGGTGAAGTCGTTTTCTTGAATTGTCCTTTTGCGAGCAGTTGGCGAACGGCACTGGAAACTCTGCCGATTGCGGTTCTTCTTTGTCTGCGAAGGAAGAAAAGGGTTTTTCTGAAGAAGTGAAGACTCTGGCGGCAGCTGCTGCGGACTTGTTGTCTCGAAATATATCTCCCTGTCGCTTTCGCAGCCAGGAGCTGATGATTCAGCTCATGAGCTACAAGTGGCTGCAGCCGCTCTACGGAGTGCTGGACGACTGGAACGCAGGGAGGCTTTTCAAAGACGACGTGAGCGGCTGAAATTTGTTTTTATAATATTCTCAATTTGCAAAATCTGAAATGAAATGCAGCGGCGCGAAACACCAAAGTTGAATGCCGCAGGCCCTGCAGCCGCGCGGCGGCGAGGGGCCCCTGCCTGCGAAACCCGCTCGGGAGCCGCTCTTTAGCTGGCATTTGTTGAATATATTTGCAATTAAGTTTTGCTTTTTGTTTGTTGTGTTCAATCAGGCCTTTTCCGCGTTCGAGGCCGCGGCCGCGGCCTCCGCGCGCGGGCTGGAGGCGCTGCGGCGGCTCGTGCTGGTCCTCCAGGCCCAGAAAGCCGCGGGCCCCGCGAGGCCCCCTTTGACTCGCCAGCAATACGACGCTTTGCCTCGAAACGGCTCTTACAGGAAATTGCCGGAAGAGTGGCCGGCGTTGGCCTGCAGCGGCAGAGACGGGCTGGCCTGGCAAGTGTTGAACGACAGGTGGGCAGTGAGCGCTCGGCCGATCTTTCTTTTTTTCTGCTTTTCTGGAAGAAGTTGAAGCAAATAGTTTTAATTGCCGCTTTTAATGTGCAAGTGCTTGCGCATTTAGAGGTTGTTCGGCAAATGCTGCGGGAGAATTTTCTGAAATGCCAGTTTTGAGCAGTTTTAATCAGGAATTCATTCCCAGACAACCATTTTAATTAAATGCGGAAATAAGGGGATTCGAACCCATTAAAAAGATTCTTTGTGTTGCATTTATACTGCCTTTTGTAGTTCTTGCACGCGCCGCAGTGGACAGGCGGGATCTGGGCATTTCTTGTTGGCCTTTGGGAATCGGCTGTGGAGGTGTTCTCTTGGTTCTTTTTTCGTTTTTTCTTTTCTTGTTTTGATTTAAATAATATTTTCGTTTTAAAATGTTTTATTTGTTTCGTTTTTACCCGCAGGTGGGCTTTGTTTCCGGACAGCTCGGAGAGCCAGGCGCGCTACATGAACCGCCACGAAGAGGCGCTCTTGAACTTGGCGGACTCGCGCTACGAATGGGACTTGCGGATTTCTTTGTTGGAATCTTCTTTGAAAAGATTGGACTTAATTGAAAAAGCCCTTTTGCGTTTTCCCGCGGACCAGCGCCGCCTCTGCACAGTCCGGCCTTCGGTCTTCAAGCAAATTCACCTTTCTTGCTTTCGCCGGATCTTCGGAAACAACACTGAACAAGTGCCTTTTCCCTTTTAATTGATCTCTTTTTGCTTTTTAATTGCAGTTTTTATTTTATTTATTTAATTTTAATTGCAGTTTTTATTTATTTATTTAATTTTCATTCTGGAAAAGCCCGGAAGTCCTTGGTTTCTCTTGTTCAACTCCGAAGACTTCGAGTTGCAAGTTGCAAGTGCCGGGGCTCCGCATTTGTTTGCATTCGCGTTCTTAGTTGAATAAATTTGGATTTCCTTTCTTTTAAATTAACATTTTAAATAAATACTTCTTAATTGAATAACTTTGCATTTCCTTTATTTAATTTGACATTTTAAATGAATACTTCTTAATTGAATAACTTTGCATTTCCTTTATTTAATTTGACATTTTAAATGAATACTTCTTAATTGAATAACTTTGCA